TTATGAATATATGCCTGTGTCAGGATAATTCTTTTACTAGGAAAATTTATTGTACTTGAAATCTTGAGAACTCTTGAAATACAAGCATTAAACAACAAGATCTTAAGTGTGGCTCATAATATATCCATTTTACTTAGAATATATTTTCTTAGAATGTATTACTTGGAATGGACTACTTTTGATTTATTTTTCAAGTAATTCAGGTTTGAAAATTACTTAAAAATCAAATACTTAATAATTCTTAAACTATTGGTAAATATTACTATCATATCTTCAATCACTTTTGAATTCTATACCTTGTTACAATGTATTGAAACTTGTTTTATGGCTCAGAATAGGACTTAGTGACTGTTCTATATGTACTCTGCTTTAAAAAAATGTGTTTTCTGCTGTTAACAGTTAAAGTGTTTGTAATTGCCAAATAGTTCAACTAATACTTTTATTCAAATTGTCTGCATCTATAGCGATTTTATAACTTCTTGTTCTGACAATTCTTGAGAGAGGAATATTAAAATATATAACTGTATTTTGGATTTGTCCATCCCTCCTTTCAGTTCTATCAGTCTTTACTACATGTACTTTGAAATTGTGCTATTAATTTCATGCCTAGTTAGGAGTGTATGTCCTCTTGATGAATTACTCTCTTTATTAATATAAAATGACCCTTTTAATTCTGATATATACTTTATATTTTTTGACCATTCTATTGCAACTTAATACAGCTAAGGTATATCGTTTCCATGTTTTATTTTCAACTTATTTTTATTTTAAAGTAGGTCTCATATATGGCATGTAGTTGAATCTTGCTTTGACAATCTTTTCTTTTCAAACTGTTTACATTTAATGTTTTGATTGCTATAGTTGAATTTAAATCTGACATCTTGGGATTTGTATACTCTTTATCTGATATATATTTTGTTATTTTTTCCTGTTTTCCTGCCTCCTTTCATATTAATTGGATTTTTTTTATGATTCTACTTTACCTCTATTTCCACTATGAAATTAGTAACTATACCTCAGTTTTATCTCAATGGTTGGTCTGATGTTTATAATACACATTTTAACTCATCATAAATTATATTATTAAATAATTTTGTATATTATTAAAATACTATTATATCATTTACATTTAAAACAGTATATTTACATTGCTTCCCTTGGGCAATTATCATATAATTTATTTCTACATTTGTTATAAATGCTATAGTATATAAATTGACAATTACCTTTTAAAGTGTTGTTTTTTTTTAACATGTGAAATTGTTTTTCATTCCTTTGTGTAGATCCAAATTTCTGTCTGGTGTCATTTCTGCCTTTTAGCCTTTCTTGCAGCACTGCTCTACTGTTGATGAATTTTCTCAGCATTTGTATGCATAGCAGTCATCTTGTATCAGTTTTTGAATGGAATTTTTACTGCATATAGGATTCTAGGGAGACTTTTTAATACTTAAAAGATTTTACTCAATATTTTCCTGCATGTATTTTTCTGTTGGGAAGTTTAATGTCATTATTTTCTTTACTCCACTGTATATGGCTTTTTTCCTCTGAAGGCTGTTTCTCATTAACATTATTTTTCAAAACCTTGATTTTTATTTGCCTTATGGTTTTCTTTATGTTTCATCTGCTTGGAGTTTGTTGAGTGCCTTAGACTTGTGGATGTGTGGTTTTCATCAAATGTGTAAAAATGTTGGGCATATTTTCTTTATGTATTTTCTATTCCAAATTATTTTTCTTATTATTCTTTCTTGACCTTTGTATGACTTCATTAGATTGTGAAGATTAGTTCTCAGCCAGAGACTAGAGGGAACCCCTTTATAGATATTCAAGCTTCTGCCTCACAAATTTCAACCACCTTGATCTCCCAACCCTAAACTGTGATCTAAACTGCCTAGGACCTAGACTGTCTCTCAGCTGTGGGAGATTGCTGAGCTCTATATGGGTTCCCTTTCTCCGCATCTTGCCCTGAAAACTTTCTGGGCAGTGAACTGGTATAAAGTTAAGGGTTACTTTACTTCCTTTATCTTCCTCTAGGGACTGTTCTTCCACTATCTCAAAACCATTATTTTGTGCTCTTTGTCAGATTTTCTAGCTGTTCAAAGTAGAAAAGGAAACCTGGTTCTTGTTATTCCATTATGGTCAGAAATAGAACAGTACGCTTGTTTTAAAATAAAGAATCATTTTATGGAAAGTTTTCATTTCAGAGATGATATGATACAATTTGAAATAATAAGGTCACCATATTTTTTGGAATTTATCTGATATAGCTACCTATATATAGTATGGGTGCAATAAAATTATGATATATGGCATAATTTGTTTTATATAATTATGACTATATAGAAGAGCCAAATAAAATAAATGTATCATGAAAAAAAAAATCATGAAAAAAAATCGCTGACTGTTCTACTTCCCTTAGATAGGCCCATAACTGATTTTCTAAAATGGCTACTGGTAAAGGCAATGAAAATACAGTAAAACATTTGGCTTTGTAAGTATGAATTTAAAAAATGGAATGAAACTATGTATTATGTACTAGTTTAACTAGCTATCATTAAGCTTTTAGATTTAAGTATTTAAAATTTTAACACCTGTAATTTGTTTGGTCCTAGCTCCAACTGGGATTTCTAGTCCATGTTTGGCTCCATTCAGTTAATTAACTCAGTATAGGCAACTTGTATGCCAAACATAGGCATGCCCCCTTTTTGTGGATAAAGGATTCTGAAAATAATTCTTGGCCACAATGTGAAGTAACACCATGTTCAGTATACCATGTTGGGCATGCTGGAAAAGGCACATGAAAAGTCAAAAGTGTTTGTCTCAAGAATGCAATACATATTTATGTATTGTAAATATTTTATTAATTCAAATATAAAAAAGCTTTATTATGATAGAATAGCAGTGCATTAAACAGCACTCTTAGGAGTAAAATGGAGTAGCATGAAAGTCTTGGTGAAAATTTTTTCATTCCATTTTTCAAATTGATACTTCCAAAGCCAAATGTTTTACTGTGTTTTCATTTCCTTTACCAATAGCCATTAAAAAAATCAGTTATGGGTTTATCTAATTCTTAAATTCCCTTCAGCTGGTATTCAGAGGAAGTAGTTTTAATCTCAATCAAATGGATTTGCCAATGCAATTATACTTTATGATAAAGTTTAGTTAATGTAGTGAGTTTATTTTAAAGTTATATTGTCACTGGACAAAGGAGAGTATCCAGGGACCCCTTAGTCCCATCCCACTGTCCAACAACACAGACAAATAAGCTACGAATGAACCAGATTCTGTCCACTGTCAGTCAGGGTGATAGATGGAAGGGATCTCCTCCCAATTCTGGAAAGGGATCTTGAGATGCTCTTGTCAAAATTAAAGCGAGGACTCCACAGATCTCAATGAAGGTGGCGAGATGTTGTGTTTACTGATTAGTGCAAGTGCAAGGAAAGAGAACTCCAGGGAAACCTCTCTGGGCATGAAACAGACACTGAAATTCTGGGGATAGTTTATATAGGTTGTAGAGCTGGGATTTGAGAACAAAGGAATTAAATTGTATTGGCTGAGAAAGCAAGGAGGATAGACTTGGTAAAGTATATTTGTTGTTCCTAGTTGTGACCAGCAATCAGCTGCAGCTCATGGTCAAGCAGGGCCCTGGCTATCCCCAAGGTGTACATCTTGAGAAGGCTGTGTGCCCGTAGCTCCAGTTTGAACTGGTCTGGTCTCAAGGTTTGTGACTATTTCCTTATGGATCTAACTCCCTTTTCTTCCTGTAGTAGCCAACTTGATATGTTTAGGAATGCATAGGCTGGGGAAAAAATAGTAAAAAGACAAAATGGGCCTGGGAAATCTATGGTAGCTGGTGTTCGGGCCTAGAGACATCAGATTTATTTAACTACTTATTTACCAGCTTGTGGGAAAAAAAAAAAAAATTTGTTCTTGAGTCTTGTCTCAGTCCTGGGATCCTTCCAGTCTCACTGTAGTTAAATAAAAGATATCATAATCCAGACTTTGTTTATACATCTAGATTGAAATATATGCCCACTTTGTTTTTTGCCCCTGGGTATAAACACAAATAATTGAACCTCTCTTAAAAATATAAGCTTTCTCCTCCAAAATGCAATTGATTTCTCCATTGACAATTGCCTGCATTACTTTATTCTAGAGTAGCAGCTACTTTTAAACATTGACATTTTTCCGACAAATGTTATAAAAATTTTGAAGCAGAAAGGTTGAAAGACTTTCACAGCAAACACGTATATATTCACTGCTAGATTATTTAACCTTGATTAACCTTGTTGTTTCAGATACTTAAACCTCTATTCACTAATCAATTTTTTCTTTTATAAATTTTAAGGAAACTTCAGATATCAGTCTTCTTTCCTACGAATTCTTCAGCATGGTGCTCAGTTTTTAATCCCTTAATATTATAAACATTCTACAACATATAAAACACTTTCTTTGAAATAATGTAATTTTATCACATATCAAGAATAAGCATGGGACCTCCCTGGTGGTGCAGTGGTTGAGCTCTGGGTTGCGAAGCTGCCCGTAGCCTCTGCAGTGCTGGTTCGATCCCCTGCTGCCAGGCGAGGGTCCCACATGGTGCGCAGACCTCTCCTGCCGCCTGCTGCTCCCCTCAGCAGTGTACTTCGGTCCTTCTGCCTGTTCTGTTCCCTGCTCTGACTGTGGTGTATTCTCTCACCCTCCCGCACTTCTGACTATACCCAGTGCTTGTATAAATAAGTAAATAAATCTTAAAAAAAAAAAGAATAAGCATGATCAAATGATGCAACTACGATAAGCATTAAGTCACCATGAGAAATTATGTCCACATTCCCATAACTGATTCCATTATGATCATGTTTATTTAATTACTTATGTATTTTATTTTCCATATATATATATGCTTCTGACTTTCTTAATATTTAGTTCATTGATGATCAAATGAGTAAAACTATCATTACATTCAAAATATTCATAATTTCCTTCCTCTAACTTGGTTCCTTTACCTCTATAAAGCTGTGGTTGAATTTTGATCTTGAATAACTTTTCCAGCTCGAATTCCATCCTTCCCTTTTCCCATCTCAGCAGGTGCACAATTCTCTCCTTTGGGAAAGCAAATAACTTGGAGCTCTTTCAAATTACTAATCTTTAAATATTTATTCAAAATATGGTTAGTGGGAGGTAGTAAAAAATTGATTTTCTACTAATAAGCATTTTATATAGAATGCTTGCTTATTAATGCATTTCTGTTCACAAAATACTATCTAAAAAACTTCAGAAGAACTTTTCTTACCTTTCTGTAGCTTTTCATCTATCTTCATGATTCTTTTCAAAGGTCGTTTCTTGAGAGTCATATGGAAGGGTTTACATTCAGATAACAAAAAAAATTAATGGTAAGAAACATAGTCAGTTATGCTATGACAGGCATTATTCAAGTTCAGACTTTTGATGGTGTTTAAATCTAATTGTGTTATGTAAAATACTCAGTTATTTTAGGAAGACATTAACTTTTTCAGTTTTGTTGTTGTTGTGTGTGTGTGTTTTAAGTTCAATTCCAGGCAGTCCTTACCTTGATGTTACAAAGCCAAAGGAACATTTGGAATGATGGCTAAGTTTAAAGTAAGTCATTAGAGGGTGAGATAAAACTGTACATTTTTGCACATGATCCAAGTTGATTATATGCAATCATAGGCTGATTATTCTGGGAGAAAGATGACACATGTGTAACTTAGTAAGAGGCAACAATCCTGCAATTCAGACACGAAGACTTATAGTGACTTGGAATGATAAATGGCTGAATTTGCAGGTTCTGCATTTCAATGTCAGTTTCCAAGAAGGAACTTGTCATCTAGAGAGGAAGAACAAGATGAAATCAAAATTACAGAATTATATTCCTTCCTGCCTGTAGGCATAGTCATCTTATTCAACATCAACTCTTAAACATTTGAGTTTGAGAAATATATTTGGAACAGAAATGTAGGTGAATTGATAGACCCAGTTTGTCTTACATATGTGTACACACAAATAGCATGTATATATATATATTATTAGATGTTTATTTGCAATTGACATGAATAGTCTTTCACAGTTATAAAATTAATAACTGACAACTATGTGGTATGATCGATATACATATGACAGGAATGAAATTCTTTTTCTGCTTCTTTTGAGATTTGTAACCTTGCTAAGGCTCTATTTCCATAGATAGATAGATAGATAGATAGATAACTCATGGGAATGTTGTAAATATTAAATGTAATATTTTACAGATACAAGTGTATCTGTAAAGATCCCAGGAGAAGATATGAACGCAGTTCCTGGCACTTAGAAGGAATTTTATGAACCATGAACACAAATATTTTGTACATTTTATTCTTTTTGTTGAAACTATTTTTTCTATTTGAAGAAAGTTATATAATAATATAGATGAAAGGTGAATCAAAATAGTGGCCCAATGTGCTGTAATAAAGTAATAAAGTGTTTGTAATAAAGTAATAAATTTCACAAAATACTCTCAGGTCAGGATTCAGCTCATTGCAGTTTTGCAACTTTTTCTTATTTCCAGTGTATTGATATAATTTGTAGACATAAATATATGTCTTTCCATACACGTTTAGGCTTCCAAAAATCTGTAGATTTGGCTTCTTTCCTCCTTGCTAGCTGAGAGCATTTTGAATTTATGATTTTAGAGGTAAAAATTTTAATTAGAGCTCTGCGTATTTTTTCCATTTCAAATCTAATCAAGAACAGAAGCATCATGAATTAAATATGTACTACCCTATAATATGTGCATAGCTAAATTTGCAGATGGAGTGGTGTGAGGTGTTAGAAAGATATGGGCTTAAGGCAAGCTGGGAGAACTGGAGTGGCCTAACTTATCTTTGTCCTCACTGTAGGAGAAGGTAAGCCCTCACTAATTATATGTGCACTTAAGTGCTTATCTAATCCTAACATGTAACCCAGAATCTCTAATAGCTACCTTCTATTAGATTGCATATTTCCATGAGGAAAACTAAGGATAATACTTTGGCCAGGAACCAGAGGTGAGAGGAGAGAGAATCATCGCAGAGCCGAACAGATTCCCAGTGAGAAGCCCCTTCTCCCAGGACTGATTCATAGATTCATCACCACAGTCTGCCTGAAACATCATCCAGACTAACATGGGTATAACCTAGAGCCCACTTTGCCTCTGTTAATACAAGGAGTCCCAGACTTCCAAATGTTTCCATCACCAGCCCCAAACATCTACTATGTTGACTTACCTCACACCCTCTTCGCGCACCCCTCCCTCACTTTCCAGTGGGCCCTGTGAAGCTAGAAATCTTATCAAAAAAAAAAAAAAATCCCTCTGATATTCAGTCTTCTTTAAATATTCAATTCACTTTCCACCCCCCTCAAACTGAAACCCAATTCTCACTTGAAGACACTATTTTCCACAGAAGTGGTGACATTCTTTTTCTCTGCTCATCTTTAGGGAAGTAAAAAGGTGTGTTGACCATCACTGTGAGCTATAGTCCATTTTCCTTGCTCTAGTCCATTGTCTACATAACTCTTTCCTACCATATCCTTATGCAGTCTATTGACTCCATTTCAAAAAACACACCTCACCAGTTTCACCTTTACCATTCTGTTTCAAGCTTCCATTGTCTCCCACCAGGGTTATTCTAGCTACTCTTAAGTGGTTTCTTTACTTCTGCCTGTCCTTATTTTTCACATAGCTGTCAAAATGTTTCTTTGAAAACCTAAGTCAAATAATTTCACTTCATTTCTCCGTGAATTGGCTCATGAGGTACTATATTATATGGCTCCCCAATAACCTCTATAATTGCATCTTCTACTGCATAGTCCTTGTTTATTTAAGTCTCTATAGCCCCACTGCTTCCTGCTGTACCTGCAACTTGCCAAGAAGACTCATGGCTTTTGTACAAGCTTTTTTGTTCGTGGAATGTTCTTTCTTCTTTTCCTTCCACTCAATGACAAATTATGAGTGAGATCTCCCTTGATCATCCTGTGTAAACCAGTTACCTTCTTTACTGTTGTTCTCTGTCCATCCTGCTCTGATTTTTTCATAGCACCATACTTCATAAATGTGCGTGTGTACCTATATATATATATATATATATACTCATACATACATACATATATAGATCTCTTGATACACACATGGATGTGTATATATCTATACATACTAATATGTGTATCTATGTGTGTGTATATTTGCACACTTCTAGAATGAAAGCTCTAGGAAAAAGGGGATTTTGTTTACTTACTGCTTTGTCTGCTTCACCTAGACTAGTTTTTAGGATTTAGTATATTTATCTTCATTATTTGTTCAATCAATAGTTAAATTACCTCATCACTTTTTCGAATTAGACTAGGATGGATTTTTCACTTTATTCACACAGGGATGTTCTCCCTTGATGCAAAAAAGAATTACCTTTATCCGGTTCTGGTGAAATAATAATGGTGAGAAGAAACTGAATGTGTGATAATTCCATTATATTAGTTAAAATCAAGATTTCTTGGGAATATCATGTCTAAGTCGAGAAAAGAATATTACATAATCTGCTTATTAAAACTGGTAATTTTAGAGATAGAGGTGATTATAGGAATAACAGATAGAAAGAGGTAAAGTGAACTTGTCTAAAACAATGAAACTCACTGTGGGAAGATAGGCTTGCATCTCAGATTCATTACTCACCATCAGGATTTATTCATTCAACAGTGAATATTTACTGAGTATCTTTTCATACTATGCTGTCATAATCTACTCTGATGAATCTTACAGTTTCACAGGAAAGAAATGTTAAAAATATTAAAATTATACACATACATTATTGGGCTATGTACTCTGAAGAAGGAGGTAGCATTTAAAAAGCTATAAGCCGGAGACACACTATGGGGTGGGACTTGTATGGGGACTATAACCAAGATGAGAAAGCAGACATTGTGCAAAAATGCAAAATGATGTAAAATTAGAAAATAAAAAATATATAAAAAAGTGATATACTTGAGAGGTGACTGGCCCAATCTGAAAGATAAAGTAAATCTTCCCAAGGTAGGTGTAATCATGAAACTAATGGAGTTTTCCATGATGTGGAGGAGTTACCAAAGAGGAAGAAGAGGGAGTATACATTCCTGGCAAAGAAAACAGATCTTATTTTCTGTATCAGCTGAGAGAAGCACAGTGCTGTCACCTGACAGAAGAAAGGACTAGAGCGATGTTTGATAACACCAGACTCATGCTTCTCTAGAATTATTATTATATTGGCTACTTTTAAAGCATAATAGATATTCAGAACTGTATATAATCTTTTACATGATTTAACTAAGACTTAAATGTTCCACTGCTACTTCTTTCAATTTCAGGCATGAATTTGCCATTAGCAAATTATTGGTCCTCTCAGCTTGCGTTGAAGGATGTATTTTTCACTTTCTTACTCTTCTTTCAGAAAGCCCCTCTGACAATCTAGTTCTTTGTAGCTCATCCCTTTTCATCCAGTTAGTTTCCTATTTTTATTGCTGAGTCATCCAATCAGGCTTAATTGTCTCTCTCTCCAGCTGGCTCTGTCTTTTTGGAGAGAAAATTCTGCTACAGGTGCATTTTTTAAATTAGGAAAATAAGAGTGCCTAAATATGGACACAGCTAGATTTTCTTGGTGAATTCTGAAGTTATGAAAGATGATTAGCATCTTTCACCTTTCATCATGGTGACCAATAATTTTGAACCATTCTATTGCAGACTGACTCATAACACTTGCTGAGAAAATATTAAAAAAAAATTCTTTCACATGATTTTTGTTGCTCAGATCAGAAATTTTAGATCAATTCAAAATTATCACTTTTTTTTCCCCCAAAGGACATGAGGTTTGAAATAAAAACACAAACTAAGAAATTGGAGGTTTTGATATTTATGAAAGATCATTGTATGCATAAATAAATAAATTTAAAAATCGAAAGGTTAATAATTAGGTTGTTAAAGAGGATTGTAAGTCTTAATATATGGAAGTTTTGGGGTGAATGTTAAGAAAAATATGAAATTAACATGTGAAAATTCTAAAATACTTTGTTCCATGAACTTTGATTTAATATAATCTATTGTCTTTTATACTCCATCTTAATTAATGAATTACACTAAGTGGTAAATAAAACTTCTCTTCTGCTCAGAAAAAAATCTATTAATCTCTTCACAAAAATCCCATTTATAATATCCCAGATGATATAGCTTGACTTTGTAGATCAAATATTCATATTGTTTGGTATGTTATGTTTTATGGGTCCAACAGGACTTATGTCATAGTCAACATTTTGCCAGAAAACTTTTTAATTAAATGTTTGTTTCCCTATTCCTGTATTCCTGTCAACCTAGTGCTAGAAATAAGTCCTCGTTCAATGATCTCATTTTCTAAATTTGATTTATGAGGCTAAAATTTATGGGGAAATAGAGGGACAACTTAATTTAGCATGCACAGATACATGATTCACAGATAATTCACACACAGGTCCAGTACTTCACATGTATTATATCACATAATGCACACAATAACTAGATTTTACTTATCCCTCCACAGGTGAGGAAAGTCAGGTTCAGAGAAACTAAGAAACCTGATCATCATAAGAAATCAGTAGCAATGTCCCTTACAGGAGAAGTGTCTGATCATGTTCATGTTGTGAGTTTCATAAGCACATAATAATACCTCATTGGATTTTCCCTCTCCCATACTTTACAATGATTCAAAATACCTTTTCCTGATAGTGAAGGTACTACAGAAAACTAGAATTTAATTCAGTGCAATAACCTGAGGTGAAATAAGGCAAACATGAGAAATCCAGACTTCTATTTTGAGCTTTGTCACTATCTCATTAAATGAGCTCAGAAAAGCATTTAACCTTTCAAAGTCTGACTTTTGGGGGGAAAAAAGCAGAACAATTATGAGATTTAACTAACAAGCATTTTCTGAACATTAAACAGTGTGAGTTTCAAGTTCCTGGAATAAAGGTTACTAGAAACAAGAGTTTCTTGAATAAATCATGATGAGCTCAAATCACCCTTAAAAGTTGAGAATTTTCTCTTAGTTACCAAGAAAAAAACCCTCACTTTACACCTCTCGCAGTGTCTCTCCTCAACCCAGAATCATTGTTTTGAGTTGAGAAGAATGTTGCTGAAAAAGAGAAAAGAGACTGGCTTCTAGTCTATTTCTGTCACTAACTTACTCTGTGACCTTGACTAAATCATTTCAATTCTGAGACCTCAGTTTTCTCATCTAAATAATCAGGGGTTAGAGTAAATATATTCTAATTCTCTAGGATAATGTCTCACCCAAAATAGATGCTCAATAAGTAAAAGCTGAATGAATGAATGACACCAATATGCTGCCTTCATTTGCTTCTTTAGATGGGGTGCTGTTGATGTGTCAGGAAGAGAAACTGCAAAGATACCTGTGAGCATGCAGTATGATGCAGAAATATTTGAATGAAATTAATGATTTTCTTTTGCTGTGCCATATAAGAGGAATGGGCTTCTGAAGAGTTCCTAAAATTTGCTATGTCATCAATTGTGTGCTTTTGCATTTCTAATCCTTATTTTTTTTTTTTGACTACAAAACTGTGATTTACCAGGCAGAGAACTGGCCTTGATATAATAATCATACAGATATATTTTGTTTGATTTCCTTGTATAATTTAGCTCCTAATACTCCCCATATTTATATTCTGCTACTGTGAGATCATATTTGTTTTTAGCTTTTTATTTTATTTATTTATTTTTATAGAGGCATGTTTATTTATTTATTTGTTTGTTTGTTTGTTTTGTTTATACATGCACTGGGTACAGTCAGAAGTGCGGGGGGGGGTGAGAGAATTCACCAGAGCCAGAGCGGGGAGCAGAGCAGGGAGAAGGACCGAAGTACACTGCTGAGGGGAGCAGCGGGCGGCAGGAGAGGTCTGCGCGCCATGTGGGACCCTCCTTTGGTGGCTGGGGAGCAGCCGGGGATTGAACTGGCGCCACAGAGGCCGTGGGTAGCTTTGCAACCCAGCGCTCAACCGCTGCACCACCAGGGAGGCCATTAGCTTTTTATTTTGAAATAATTTTAGACTCAGAATGGTTATAAAGATAGTAAATAGAATTCCAATATATTTATCACCCAGAAATCCCTAATGTTAAAATCTTATGTACCTGTGGCATATCTTTCAAAACTGAATAAATTAGTTTTGGTATGTTGCATTGTACATTGATATGACATTAAGCAATATATTTACTGACCCCAGTTTTTCCTTATGTTCTAAGATTTCAGGATACAATATCATACTTAGTCATCGTTAGAGGTATGTGATGTTCAGTCTTTTCTTATTTTTCATGTCTGTGACAATTGAAGAGTATTTTACAGATTTTTTTTTCTAAAATCCTCCCCTGATTAGACTTGAATTACACCTTTAAGGGAGAATATTTTCAAGGTGAAGTGTTATTTTTCATCATATCTTAAAGGTTTATGACATCACATGACTTACTAGTGATGATTTAGAACTCAATCACTTGATTAAGCTGGTATCTGCCAGTTTTCTCCACTGTAAAATTACTGTTTTTCTCTTCCCCTATTCCATTCATTAGAAACAAGTCATTATGTCCAGCCTATACTCAAGGTGTAGAAAATTAATCTGTATCACCTAGAGGAAGATGAACCAAAGAATCTGTGAGCGTGTGTTAAAATCACCACAGTGTTTTATAAATATTTTGGGGGAGATGCTTTCAGGCTCTGTGATGCTTGTTTTTCCTTAAATTTTGGCTTACTCATTTTACCATTCTTCAATAAAGCTTAGCTGCTGCAAATATTACTGTGGTATTAAAATGTTGCTTTTTCTTTCATTTCTTCCATATTTATAATTTGAAATTTCTTTTGTAAGGGAAAGTTGTCTGTCCACTCTACTTATTTATTTATTTAATCATTTATTTACATCACTATGGTTTCATGCTTATTTACTTTATTCTTTGGATTTTAATCCCAAACTGTTGTTATTTACTTTATTGCTCAACCTGCTCCAACTATAGTCAACTCTTTTAGATTGGATCCTGTGTCCTTTTAACGTAGCCCTAACTTTTATTTTCCAGTGTTTCTTTACTGTACTTACTCATAATCAGTTTGTGTTTTCCCTTCCCTAGCTCTTGATTCTGTAATTCCAATTATATTAATTGGAATAATATCTAGAAATTAAAACCTGAGCGTCAGAGGTACTCTTTGCTACTTAGGTGTCACTGCTCCTAGACCCTCAGCACACTGACAAGGGGAACAGTTTAATCCAGGTTGGTGTCTGTATGTAAACACTTCTTAAAAGAATTGCTATCTACTCTTCATTACTTCTGTCCCTAGAAGACATTGTTATGACTCATTATAGATTCCCCACTTTTTCTACTAGTTAAATATTTAAAATAATTTCATAAGAAAATATCAGGTAGGGATAAGATTTCACAACTACTCAAGTCAGCTTATGCCTAAAACATAATTGTACTCTAAATTACATTTCTGAGTTTCAGATATATATCTCCAACTCTTTATTGAATGTTCCTACTGGAAACGTGTCATGCTTCAGATTCAATGTATTAACAGGCAAATCTTCACCAACATATAAACTGAGTGCTTTCCTTTTTATCCACCTGAACAATACTACTAACCCAGATATTTAAGTTAGACTCTCCATCAACTTGTCCATCCAATCAATTACTAAATCCTGCTGATTTTACTTCCTAAATACAATCGATGTACCTAAATTTCTTCTTCCAATCTTGTTCTTGCTCGGAAGTTCATTGCTTAAGATTGGGTAAATTGCACCTGTTCCCTAAATGGTCTTGTTTATGTAGCCTCTCCCCAAACCCCACCAATCCATTTTTCCATTGCTCAGGCAAAAATCTTGCAGTGTTACCTCTCAGCTTTAATCCTCTCATGTACCCCCATTATCTACTGAAATAAATCTAGCTCCTTAAAGAAATCATACAAAGCATTCTAAATCTCCATGTTCCCACACTAAATGCTATGGTTGCAGCTATTTGTGGCTCTTAATGTCTTTGCAATGTCTCTGCTTATTGCAGCCTCTTAGCACAATGAATGCCTTTCCTCTTCTTCAGTACCTGTCGATATTTCTCAACACACACACACACACACACACACACACACACACACTCTTCTAGTATTCTTTCCCTGAATTTATTTCATAGGTTTGTTCTGTAGGTCTCAGTCCTACGTTGGCTACCTGCACTTTTGCCACTATTGTTATTGTTATTGATTGCATATAACATACCAAGAGATTTGCTAGGTTTATTGCTTGCTTTATCTTTCTCATTTTTCTTAAATTGCTATATCATTTACTCTCATTTATATTTCTACTTCCTTTAGTAGAGTGAGTTTTCAAGGAATGCTGTTTCTAGTTAATCTAGTTAATCGTGTCTATAATATATTTTATAGTGAATAGATGCCTCAACTCTATAGGAGGGTGGTGTGGATGGAAGACAATGACAGTCTTCTAAGAATGTACTTTTTTGAATTTAATTTCTATTCCTAGAAAGTTGTCATGTTTGCTGCTAGGATGGTGTGGATGAGAACTAGTGCAACATCTACCACTGGCTATTAGTGAAAATATTTGCAATGTGAAAACACTTCTCTTAAGTCTGTTACATGAATTTTCTCAATTAACCTTCATAAAAATGCTAAAAAATAGGGTTTCTTCCCAATTTTATACATGAGAAAATTAAGGCCGTTGCAGAGCTTATTAGAGCTCCTCCAAGACACTCAATACCATTTTGTCCATTATGCCTAAAAAGTGGGAAATGAAGTGTCAAGACTGAGTTCTCACCAGTAGAATGTGAGTGAAAAAATAATGTGCTTTATTTTTATGCCTGTCCTCTAAAATCTCCCTTACTTCTCCTCAGTTCTCCTTTCTCTTCTCTGACTTGAGCTATGGTCACTACTTGTTCCAGACAGTATAACACAAAGAGTAAAGGGATCTGAGTCCCAAAATTTCTGCTTGGTGCAGAGAAATGAGGATCTCTCTTTGGACCTTAAATGAGCATGGTTCACTTCTGGTTTGTTAAAAAGGTGAGACTTTAACATTTAACTGTCACAATTGCTAGCATCCCCCTACATAATAGAGAGACAAACAGAATTTATTTAACTTGTACAAGATTGTATATATCTATCAAATGGGTGTACAAGCAATTAAGAGCTTTTTTGATGATTTGACTTCATAGTTTATGTTCTCTTAGTTTATATGGTACCCCTTATTGTCAATACACATTTTCATTTTTGAGAATTTTGTTTAGAACTTGACAAGTATGTTTTCCCATTATTGCTCCCACATTACTTTCTTTTAAAACTTTTGCCATTGGAAAAGATACCAACTTTTCCACAGTGGTAGCAGTAGTGCCTTCATCACAGACTCTTAAGAGGAGGATAAACTCTGAGATATGAGGGATGTATTTGGTGATTGATTGGAGTTAGTGACATTTCTAGACTTTTGATTTTGCATTGGAAGTATGATTTTAGTATGTTTATGGTGATATAGTTAATTTTGTTCAAAGCTAAAGGAAAAATGGAGCTAGCTGATATATTTCAATTGACTGAGTTTCTTTTTTATTTACTGAGAGCCAAAAAAATGTCTTTCATTAACTCCTTTTTACTTTTCTTGGATATCTCAGTGTAAGATAGAATAAAGATCATAGTTTTATTCAATTATGTGAAATACTTGAATTTTGTGACCTAGTTCCTACTTTACTGAACTTATCACTTTGAAATGTGCTTTAAACATCTGAGAGTCTCGTATAGAAAATGAAAATAATAAAATCTTATTCATAGGATTAATGTGAGGAAAAAAAGAAATAAACTAAACATTAACATGGGAGCCAAATAAAGCAATTATCATTATTACTTATGTTGTTTCTTGTTTTAATTTTCTATTTGCTTGGGCATAGTTTCAATCCTTAGAATATTGTGAACTACTCTCTATTCTATGTCAATCGTTTTACTGGTTTTCTAGTTTTCCCATATATATATGTATATTATATATATATAATATACTCAAACTTTCTATACACAAATAAGCATAATCTCATAGATTATGAGTGTTCCCTGTACTCTATAACATATCGAGCATTGCTTTATGAGGATTTGTCTGAGTTATTTTGACAGCTTATTTCTTTTTGTCACATAATATTTATATGTGGTATGTCATTTGTTCAATACTTAGTTATACAAGACTTTGGAGGGATCATTTTAAACCAAATACATATTTTTATTTATTGAGGTAACATTGGTTTATAACACTGTCTATTATTTGGGGGAAGAGGTTTACACCTTTTTGTATACTTCATACATATGTAAAATTACATGTAACAATGCTTTAAAATGTCTTTTTTGTGCTATTTAATAAACATGTACAGTACTATAAATATTACTGTCTATTTTCCAGTTCTTTTTTTGCAAGTTGTATATTTGTTTATCTAACTTTAATTTTTAAAATTACATTTCATTTGTTCAGGTAGCATTAATTTGCAACACTGTATAACATTTGAGATGCAAGTTACCCTACCATACCACCCACCAAAGTACCCACAACCACTAATTTGTTTATTTTTTATTTTTTTTATTGAGATAACATTGGTTTATAACACTGTATATTCAGAGGTAACATCTCTTCAGATCTGAGGCCTGGCTCTGATAATTTATGACAAATTAAATTATGGAAGTGTATTTATGATCACTGCAGTTCTCGTACCTAAAAAATTGTGAAGAATTTTATGGGGATCAATGTGACAAAATGAGTATGAGAATTCTTTGAAAAATGTAAAACTCAATTGTTAATTGTAGTTACATATCCTGTATCTGAAGGCCTATAATTAGTATACAAATCCTACATGTTGTAATTCCTTCTAGCTTAAAGATTCTTTTGCTTATAAAGAGTTAAAAAAAATTTTATAGATAATTTTGGTTCTAAGTTAGAATAACATTGACAGCTACTGCTTCCAAAAACGATCAGAGATTATTATGAATAAAAGGGCTGTATAGATAATTATGAATAGAAAGACTGAAAATCAATATAAATTCCTTAATACTAAGGAACTTCTGTAATTTTTATGTGAGAATAATTATTGGGAGTTGAGTGTATATTAGAGTAACTTGGAGTTTATAATACAAAATGGAATAACAGAAAATTAAAAGTCCATGCATATATGGGTACAACTGAAATTCTTATCAGTACTGTGTAATAATAGCAAATTTTACTGTTTGGGTTTCTTATTGGTTCTCTTTCAGTTTATTTAATACTAAAAGGGCCCTCATTTAAGGAGATAGAGGTGAACAATCAGAAAGGAAAGAGGAGAACTTAAGGGATAGTTCACAGATTGAAGAGTCAGTCCCTAAGTAATTGAGAGATGACCAGATTTGAAAGGCTTATCAATAACGAAAAGCTCT